GGTGTGGGGGGGGGGTGGGGCGGGAACCAAACATGCTCATTCTTTACATCTGCTGGTGACACTGAGATTGTTTTTACCTGTACGAACACGGTGAAGAGGATGACAACAGTTGTTGCTGCAATGAAGAGTTTCTTTCTGCGAAAGTCAGGAAGCAAGAAAACCAAAGAGAAACAAATGGCTCCTCGGAGACCCCCGTACGCGATAATGAATTGGTCTTTGCTGGTGATGGTGTTCACGTGAAATCTGTTCACAAAGAAAGTCAGCACAAGGACCCCTGAAAGCAGGAAAGAAGATGGGAGCACATCAAACAAAAAGAGCAATCAGATAAAACTCATAATCTTATGACGTATTTTCAGTAAAACATCACTCGTCAACACCAATCGTGAGGAGCTGGCCAGGCCCCAGGGTGGTATATTCCTGAGACATCACTGGAGAAGGGCTTTTCTTCCAGCCTGGCCCAACAGGTTTGCATTTGGTTTGTCCACATCCAATTAATCCCCAACACATTTCTGATTTGGGGGATTACAGACACCGTTGACCGGCCACAGTTCTGGGCACTTGCACGACTATAAAGTTTTAGGTAGCTCATCTCCTAGCAAATTCTCTTGTTTTTTAACTCACCCTTGTGCTTATCACAGTCCAGCTGGGAAACCAGAGTTTCCTTTGGAAGGACTTTTACAGGGGACTTTTAGCATCAGGACCGCGGATCTCCAGAACACACCGTTTGCCTGGTGACTTGGGGGTAAGCATCAGCTAAATATTGAACGAACAACAACTACTGGCAACATGGGATGCATTAGCACATTTATTTTGATGGTAACTAAAGTTTTTAGGGCAATTCTATGGTCAAGCGCCAGCTGAAACTTTACTCGTATAATGATATGGAGCCAGATTCCGAGAACTGAATTGAAATATTAATTGATTTATTCTAATTGGTGATAATAAATGACTGAATTGCTCAGATTATAAATGGTCTCGAGGCACACCCAAGTAACAATTTAGCCACAAGTTACCCTCCAATTTCCCAAAGTTTCCAAGCAGTAGCTTGGATAAGTAGCTTTATTCTGCCTGTGTTAATGTTTCTTCACAAACCTTTCACTCAGATTTATACTGTATGAATTTAAGACTACGTAAGGTGACACAGCAATTGATGTAATTTATGGTCATTTGCAAATACATAAACAGATGCAGAAAGGTACAGAAAGTCAGGTCTTAAATCAGTAAACTGTGATTTTAATACCAACAGATATGATAAACATCTTATTTCCTGCAGATTAATGGCCATTTTGAGAACCGATGACACAGACTGTCACTGGCTTTTGCTAGGAATTAGCTGGATCCACATCATTATTGCTTTCCTAAAGGGCATTTGTAAAAGAAACGAACTTCCAAAATAGTGCATTTGTACATATCAAACATCTTCCCATGCACGTACAACTGAAAATATCTGAACTTTGATTGCACATCAGGCTGGTTTGAAGAAAACGAAGACCTGGGGATGTTCAGGAATAGCGAACTCGATTAACTGAACCTGGCAACACCTTCCCCATCTCCGGAGCTCCGTGGAGCTGGTGCCCAGACCAGCAGATGTGAAGTACTTTGGTTTCAAGGTATGTTGTAACTTTAAAGAAATAAATAAATTAAGCAAAGCATACCTCAGATCACATCTGCAGCTACTGTAAGCTCAGGCAGTGGCAATGATTTAAAGGAAGAAAATTTACTTGAGCTGATATCCTGGCCTTTGTCTTAATTTAATCCTTCCTCATAAATTATTATTAGCATTCCCTAAACTAACTCAAGGCCAGTTTGCTCCAAAAGATGACATACAATTAATCATTTTGAGCAGAATATCTTTTCTTCTGCAGATATACCTTGAGAAAGAGCAGAAGTAAATCTCCCTCATGCTTGGATAAGAGTAGAATAGTAGTGCTGTCATGCAATTAATATAGTTGGCTTTCTAGATGATATCTCATATCAAAGTAATTTCAGTCCCCAGGGTTCATAAGAATCATTTCTCATTTAAGAGCACTGAGAGGGTCCAATAAAATACAGGTTACACACCAACCCCAGCACTGTCAACCCAAAAGTCCCCAATTCCTGCAAGCAAACTCTACGGGTGCCTCCCATTTCTGGATCGGTGCGCCTTGAGCACATCCAGAGCTGGATGGGTCTGAGCCGGTCAGGGTCTAATCCCAACCACCACCACCACAGCAGGAGTTTCCCAGCCCGGCTTCGTGAAGAATTTTTGAACTAAAAAAACAAGTCAAACTCACTTGGAGCTTCTTTTCATTTGAGCAAATAATTTAAGAGAAACCACTTAACTGTAATAAAACATTTGAGTGTACACACAACTGACTAATAAGCATGTTTCCAAGTGCATTTATGGTGCACAGTTATTAAAACAAACCTTGGCATGTATTAACAGCTAATAAAACCCATCCTGCTATGTCTTGCTAATCATGGCCTACCCTATTTAAGCAATTTCTTGAAGTGTCTATCAAATTTGAATTCACTCTGACTCAGTGGCTTGTAAACATAAATCCCATTGAATGTTTTTTAGCTCTCAAATTCTTTGCCAAAATGTGTGCTCTGTTATATTTGCAGATATAGTTAATATACGAAACCATCCATAAATGAGAAGGTAGGCACTCTGCACTCACTGAGGTGATGGTCGTGCTGTAAGAGGCAATGGAGAATCAGCCTCTCTGAACACCAAATCAATGCAAGATACAACTGGGGACGATGGTAAAACAGCATATCTATTTTTCTGGTCATTTACAAGGCATGAAAATGCAGTCCCAGAGCATTCTGGCACCAGGACTCAGGTTTTCATCGTAACTGATCTCAAGAAGATTATCTTTAGCCACAATTATCAGGAGAGTATTTTCATGCATAGCTCGCTCTTCCTCTTGTCATCACTAAGTCTTGGTCGCTTTTTTGCTGTGAGGTGGGTCAAACACTGCAATAGGTTTCCCAGGGAGGTTGTAAAGTCTCTGTCCATGGAGATAATCAAAAGCCATCTGTCCTGCCTAGCTGACCCTGCTTAAGCAGGGGCTTGGACCAGATGATCTCGAGAGGTCCCTGCCAACCTCAACAATTCCCTGATTCTGTGCAATTCTGTCATTCTCAGTCCTTATCTGAAGTTCTTGAATAGGAGCAGAAGCATCCTCACATTTTAGGTCCCAATTCTCATCTGCCCAGCAGTAAGCTGGGTAGATGCTCTTCTGTAAAGCAGAACAGCATCTCCACAGACAGTTGTTTGAAGGCTTCTCCAGCTTCCCTTTTAAGGATGCTGCTGTTATGAATTAAATCTCTTAAATCTCTGCAATTCAGAATATGCAGAGGCCCCACAGTTTTACACAGCTCTCTGATCCCAAGCTATGTACTTACAATCTCCCTTCTATTGTGAAGATACCAAGGGACTAAGAGACACTGACATGGAAGAGGAGATCATGGCAATCAAAGGAGGGTCTAAGACAGAGGTATCAATAAAACAGATGTCATGAGAATTTTTATTTAGCACCAGTGCTGTCTACGGTGAGCACACAGACTAGGAAATTGCAGCAAAATGCAAGACTTGCTGTTGAGCAAGTGATGGAGGTGGGGGGAAGCATCGGCTGGGGTGTCCCACTTCAACCCTTGTGTTCACATCTGGGTTAACCACACATACAGAGCGAGCAGGAAAGGATGATGGTGGGGGCAGAAGCATTCTGGAATCGCATTTTTTCACTCCCATAAATAATAACGTATATAAAAAAAAATATAGGATTTCACCATACCCAGTGCTCTCCAAATGAGACAGAAAATAACAGTGAAGCAAATGTACGGCCAGTTCCACTCATGATTTTCTCCAATGGTGGAAACTCCAAGAAAGATGAAGATGAGGGTATCACTAACACTGCTCCACATCTTCATGAAGTATTTGACTGTGGTATGCGACTTCAGAGAGATGTTGGCCTCCACATAACGTTTCATGCCCATGGCACAAGCAATGATGCTGAGAAAATTAAAACAAAACAATACATTTTTCTACTTAAGCACACAAAATCGACACATTGTCATTTATAAAAAAAAATAGGCTTCATTAAGTCTTAGATGTTTGCAGACATCTCACTGGGTAGTGATTCGCTTCCCACATCAGTCCAATAATATCAGGAGGATCACCAGGACAATAAGATGATATCTAGGTTGACCAGACTGACTGAATCTGGTTTTTAACAGATAAACAACTCACCATCTGTTGCATTTATCGCAGACACACAGCAATACCTACAATTAACTACACCCAACTCTTCCCACCGCAATACACCATTTTCGGTTCTTTAACTTTGCCAGACTTTAACTGTCTGGGCTGAAGAGTTTTCATGCTTAGGATCCCACATTTCCAGTTTTGCCTGGATGAGAGAAAGACATTTGAGGGAATGGGAGACTTGTTTCTCAGCACAAGAAATGTGTAAATAGGATTCCTGTGAGTTTGGCTGACATCTGGTCACTACAGCAGAGTCTTGCAGGACTCAGAATCGGTGTAGTTTAAGAGCAGCCTGAATGCTGTACTCCTTCACCCAATGGACCAAAGCTAAACTTGGAGAAACCCAAGCATACGACGTGCCTCACGCTGTATATTTCTAAGCCAGACCAGATTTGCACTGTAGATTACTCGGGCATGACTATGAAGCCATTGACTCCATGCAACCAAGAGAGAATAAAATGCTCAAGCACACTCATAAGGCTGCACAATGAGCCAAGAAATGTTGTTGCTACAGTCAGAACATCTGACCTCCTCAGGTCACTTCAGGAGTGTGCAGCACCAATTAAAAATTCTGCCTTGCAATATTTCATGGATAATTGGTTCTTCAAGTTACAGGGTACATGTGGTTAGCCTAATTCATCAGCTTTTCAAATCAATATGTTTTCAGGCCAGCAATCTTAGAAGGTCAAAACAATTGAGTGCTCAAAGCGTTGAAGCTCCATTTTTTTTATATTTTAACCTGGACAGAAACATTTCGTTCTACAGACTGTACCACCAATAGCAAAACCGCTTTACGTTTCTGAGATCTGATTTCTATTGGTATGTGGTAACTTCATCCACACCGAGGTTTATTGCACTAAAAATTCGTTTCACCTGGGACACGATGGTAGCTCTCATTACATTATGGCACATGCAGACAAGCCCACAGAGAAGTAGAACCTTGGCTTGCAGAAGTGCACCTACATCTGGCAGACTGACTTTAAAGATAAGCTGGGGCCAGGGCAGGTAAATGATCCATACCCATGCAAATAGGTGTCAAGATAGGTGGTGGCTTTCGCAACCTGTTATCCATGTTGTTTCCTATCAGCCAGAAACTATTCAGAAAATAGCCATGCAACCATTGCTTTGCAGAGAAAAATAGCACATTTAACCCCAGAATTTCACAAAGGGGATTCTTTGCATTATTTGGGCTTTGATGAAAAACAACACAAAACAACCAGGGTTGTCCCTGGCCCCAGCGAACAGGACAGTTTGCAGAAGCGCAGAGCTGACTGCATTCTGCTTATGGTTTCATAACCTGTATGAAACCAAAGACCCCGATTCTCTCCTCCACAGCTATTTATTTATTTCAGCCGCCGCATTGCTGCTCTTAATCTGCACCGCTGCTACCAACAGCGGAGTAAGGGCCACTTTCCTTCTGGCTCATCAGTGATCACTAACACCTTCACTGCCACAACTTGGCATCTGTCGTTGGACCAAGGTAAAGGAACGAACAACAGCTACATTCATTTCTGCTCTTAAAGCACTAAGAAAAATCAGCATAAGAAAAAAAATCAGTGATACTATTATGGGAAAACACTTATCAGATATTTGGTGGGAACAATAAATAAGAAGTTACAAGGGAAAAAAACCCAAACACTTTTTCAAATGAACATGCACTTCCACCCACTGTGAGATACTGATTACTGGGCTCTGCATTCAAACAAAAAAACCCCAAATACATACATTTCTATTTCTTTCATTTGAAAATAATTGTTCGTTTTCCCTCATTGCCATGAAAAACACAGACATTTTTTGAAGAAGAAACATTTGGGTTTGTCTGAAATTAAAACTTAAGGGAGAGGGCTTGTAGTAAAGGCACAGGATACAAAAGGTCAGACTCAGAAAAGCCACAATAACCTGACTGGGGAATGAGATCCCGTTTTATCCAGCAGCATGAGACCAAGATTCAAATCCCTTTTTCATCTCACATTGTTTGAGTTCACATCTTTCATCTCCTAAGAAAGTGTACCAATACCTAAAAATATCCTGCAACCAGTCTTTTTTGATTTATCCTTTTTAGATTGACCCACTTTGCATAAAACATTGAGCCAGAAAGAGTAACAGGGATTGAACTACAGGCTAAAAAGAAAATAATAAATTCTTCTGTTTCTGTATCTATCTCAATAAATAGTGGATAAAATAGTTCCAACTAGGAACGAAGGGATCCAATGTGTATTTACGGGCAAGTGACTTCCAGAGCCGTGGTTTTGGAACACTTCTTAGGAAAAGCATATGGGTTCACACCAGATTCACAGACCAGGAATAAACTTGACCTGTTCTGTCACAAATTCAGAGGCCACTGCCCCTAGGGCAAGGAAAAAAAGAAAAAGGAGGAAAAAAAATTAAGTCAAACTGAAAAAATGTTTGCAGAACTGTTTAGCAGATTGGGTTGCATTCACAGATTTTTTTTTTTTTATTTTTTTTTTGGACTATGTAGAATTGATTTTTTTTGGCAATCAAACTATTTTTCAAAGAAAAAACCTGCCAAGATCTGCTTCTTATAATACAATATTCCCTGGTCACAAACGACCGAATTGTTTGAAATCGAGATATAAAAGAGGCATTTATAATTTGGCAATTATAAGACCGGCAGTGCAGGAATCAGCTGCCTTTGCAATTGTTTTGCTTTAGAAACAATGCATTATTCAAAAGAATAGAAAATGGGTTCCATAATGGGTACAGTAGATTGTGATTGATAAAAGGAGACACCATTAGGATTGAATGTTTTCTGCTCCATGATGATTATGCAGCATATTTATTTCACTGTTCTGTCTTGCACTCCTATAAATAGGCTTTCGCTTACCTATTCCCAGAGCTAGAATTGTTTTCAGTAACGCCAGAATATTGCTCCTATTAACCATTCGGGGAAACAAAATCTGCAAGATATAGGAATGGTTTATATCCAAAGGAGTATCATTAGTTTTAAAATAGATCTCCCAGATACTCCTGTGTCTAGCTGGTACCTGACTTAATTTTTTTATTTTCTTTTTATCTTCATTATTATCAGATTCGCAGTTGTTTACACTGTAGCTATCAATGCAGTCTAAGTGCACTTTACAGTCTTTAGGGAAATATGAAGTAGTTGGTTGTGATCCTACTTAGTTTAGGTAGGAGAACCAACTGCAACAGATATCAGCCCACAGAAACCAGAAAGACTGAATCACTCAGGTTTTCATCTCTCTCTGCTTCCAAGGTGAGATTTCTTTGACCATTAGGATTTTATTTTTTTTTTTTTTCTCCTCGGCACCTGCTCTGGAAGTGAAATGCACAAAGTAAGCCCAAAGCTCAGCTCTTAAAACTGAAAGATCTGCCCCAAAATTATTCATATTATTGAAAGACCCATCCAGTAAAAAGAAAAAGGAATTAACTGTATTATCTATAAATTACAATTTGTGAAAGACTGAATTTACAGAAACAAATAGTTTTGCTTTGCTGATCCGAAAAGTTGCATGGGAAGATGCGAGGTGGTACCTGACACAGCGTGGGACTGTGCTGGAGGACACAGGCAGTGCTGCTCTGCCCCGCGCCGCTGTAACCCGGTCATACAAAAGCTTCACGGGGTGAACCCTTCGGTGCTCCAACGTGGTTTTTAGACTGAGGGGTGTATAGGACTGACCGCGCTGTAGTAAATTGCAAGCAGTTTGGGTTTAGTACCTTTGAAACCTTGATCTCTGACAACTTGGACTGAAATTGGTCAGCAGATTTCAAACGGTACTGGAGAAAGAGGAACGGTGGACACCACCTTCACTCAGGAGACCAAACTCATGAGCTGTGTCAGAGCTGCTTCTGGCGGTAAGTCTGAATCTCCAAAGCAGAGGTTTCCATCAGAGCCCTCCACTCCCCAACAGCAGGAACATTTCCAGGCTGCAGCTCCGTCAGGGATGCACAACTCCCACCCCATCGCTCTTACTTTGCTCTGTCACCGTAAGGTCTGCCTCAGCACGCCTTTGGGGCCACCACCCAAAGCTAGCTGGTAGGTAGGGCATGCAGATCAGGAGGAGGGTGCTAGACCAGACATACTGTAAGCTCAGACCAAACCTTTCTGAGGATTTGATTAAATACTCTTTGCAGCTCTTCAAATGTTAGTTCTGACTGGGTCACACATGGAAAATAACAAAATATGCCCAGAAAGCCTCTTCTGGCTCTGCCAGGCCCTCTAGACCTCTCATTGCTGGAACGTTCAGGGTTTCCAAATGAAAAACATTCATCCATAACCTACATAAACCAATCGGCCATCTGAAGCTTGCCCAGCATTGCTTGTGACTTGCAGCTATTACCATCGACGTGTAATTGTGTAACATGTGAAACGGGGTTACACCTCTCGGCTCTTCCACAGGCTTTTACACTCGCTGTACGCTGCCATACACAGATTCCCAACTAAGCAAACTTACATTAAAACTTTTTCTGATACTTTTCAGTAAACATAGCCAAAAAGCTTTCCTGGACAGATGAGATGCTGGGATATACTTACGCCACAATCCCCGAAAGGTGAAACATTTCGGCAGTGAGGTAGGAAAGATAGCTGTTTTTGCGGTTCGATGACACGGATATCCTTGGTGAATCGCGTGGTAAAGGCGGCGGTCATCCCAAAAGTAAGACCTACTAAAACTCCTCCTAGCCCAACCACAAAGAATTTTCCAACTCCAGCAAAAACATCCACGCTTTTGATGGCTGGCATTTCACAGAAAGATCGAAATAGCTTGTAGAGCACCTGGGTGAAAAAATGAAAGAGAAAAACAGCCGTTAACAAGAGATTCACCAGACATGGCCATACGTAGCAATGACATTAAAATACGGTGCTGGGATTTCTGCTGGTGCAGGGTCAGCATCCTTCTCTGGAGGTCAGGCACCCAGCAAGGGAGTGCTGTGGCACTCTTATGCATTTCTGTCTCCAGACATAGAGTCTAAGAGCTGTTCACCTGAAAGCTTCTCAAGACCTCAGGCCAGAGAAGTGGACCAGGAGTCCTCTGCTATAAGACGCTGTTGATGTCTTTTCCCTCTGCAGATCTCATTTCCCACCTCTCAGCACCAGAGCATCCCTCCTCAGAACATTAAATACTCAAAATAAAGGCTGATCCTTACCACCGTCACCGCGTCATTCAGGAGCGATTCGCCAAAGACCAAAATGTGTAGTTTTTCATTGACATGTATCTCTTCAAAGACTGCCAACACCGCCACAGGGTCCACGGCGGCGATCAGGCTGCCGAACAGAAGGTTGTGGAGCAACGACACGTCCTGCAAGCGAAAGGCTTTCACCTGGCAGATCCCGTACAGGGAAAAGCCGATCCCAAACACGTTCCATATCGTTCCCACGACCGCATAGAGGAGGATAGTGCCGATGTTCTCAAAAAAGGGACGGCTGGGCATGAAGTAACCTGCGTCAAGGACGATGGGTGGCAGGAGGTAGAGGAAAAAGATGTCGCTGTCCATAACTGGTGGTGACTTGTCATTTAAGCCGTAGATGATTCCCCCCATGATGAGTCCGACAAATATCAATAAACAGCTTTCGGGAACGACGGAAGGCAGCTTGTTATATAGATGAAATCCTGGAAGGGGATGGATAGATTAAAAAAGTATTACCTCACCAGCCCAAACTGGTTAACAGGCACCCACCAGCAACTCGTTGGGGTGAGGCAGCTCCCCGTGCTCCCACCTCAGCAGGCTACGCTGTGGAGTAGTGATAAACGCATGCCGTTAAGGGGAAGTCACTCAGTTAGAAATTGGCTAGAAAATCTGAAACATAAATAACTAACATAAATAGCAACTGCTAATTTTAAACACAATACAGATTCTATACATCAAAAAAAAAAAATCACAAAACTCATTCTCATTAATTATAAATGGTGCCACTTTTAATATTATTTAATCATTAACACTTAAAGCTGAAGGTAATACTGAAAAAAGTCCAATCAAGCCAGCCTTGAGCAAAGCCCAATGTTAGAGAGAAATGCTGACAACCACCACGACTACTCAAGGCGAGTTATTAAAAGAAAGTAATTGAAACAAACCAAACTGGAATAGGAATAATAATAAAAAAATATCTGTGGTTATTGTTTTTTCATGTATGTTAATAGAACTGAGACCTCATCCTATAATATGAAAAATAGCAAAATAAAAAGAACATTTCCATCTGCAAAAAATTCTAATCTAACAAAATCTCAGAGACTTTTCCCTTCCGAAGAAAAAATAAAAGAAAAAATGCTGTAAAATAACTTTTATGGAAGTAATTTAACAGAAGTTATCACAATTCCTGGAGGGGAAAAAAACCCAGAAAAAACATCATTTCCACTTTCCTATGTCCAGTTTTGCAGGGGGCGGGTGGGAAGATAGAATATTTTGTATAACTTCAACCTTTCTTAGGTGTTATCACCATATAACCTCCCTGATGCAGAGATATTTTATTTTAGGCTGTATAACACCCTGCACATGGATTGAATTATTCCTTGCGGCTGGCCAGATGCAGCCCCTTTTTTAAGACCAAGGAGTCTTCATTTTAAGATGAAGATGTCAGCGGACGACCTGCATGTAGCATGGCTGGCAAGCTAATCGAGATGAATACAGACCTTGGTGTACACTGCAGTTAAACAAAATTCCTGGAAACCCAGACATTTTTCCTACTAATAGCAACACTACGCACAGGTGTGAACTTTTGATGGAAAACCATCATTTCCAACCTAAAATGTGACTGGGTAGTTATTTTCCACGAGTGCGGTATGTCTGACACACCACATGCACATCCTTAGGACCTGGCATGTTATCTCCAAGTTTGGAGAAGAGGTGAAGCAAAGGCCACCCCTGCCCACACCGTCCCCACAGAGACCCCTGTCCTTCCTCACCCTCTCAAGATGCCTTACCTATTTTGGCCAAGGATGCAAGCATGATCCAGAGCGTGATTTCAAAGGGCACTTGGACATGTTGATAATCCAGAGAGAAAAACGCGTGCTCTGAGGATTCATTGCCCTGGGCTTCCTCGGCAGCCCAGCTGATGTTCTCCGGGATCACGTCCTCCAGCAGTGGCATCGGTGGGGAGCCCTGCAGGGCTCTGACCCTGGTGACTTGGAGGATGGAGGAGAGCAAGGACCCAGCTAGAACAGCAGCTGCAGCTTTGCACCCTGACCTCTGTCCCTCCATTCGCCCTGGAAGCCGTCTGCTGCGGGGATTTGGCTGCTCCCCGCCGCTGGGCGCTCTGGTGCGGGTATGTGGCTGCCCCCAGCCGATGGCTCCCGCTTCAGGAGACACCAGAGCTTGGCTCACCCTCGTTGAGCGGGTTGCCGCAAAGAGAGGATCAATCGCTCCGCCTCACCCTGACTCTCCTCTCTGGTCTATTATTTTCCAGCTGGGAGACCCTGATGGAGACTCGCACCCTTTGGCACCACGTGCCCAGATCGGCAGAGGCTCCTCCTGCAGATGCTTCCACGAAGGAACACCTCGTGCGCCCTTAGACCAACCGCACATCTACGCAAGCTTGAGGAAGAACGAAAATGCAACTTGTCTCTAACTCTTGACATATTTTGGCTTCCAGTCTCTCAGAAACACTTCTTGGAGGGGGTGGGGGCGGAAATCTTCACTGCTGCTAGAGCAGCCAGGATTTGATGGAACAGGTCCCACATAAAAAGTGGACCCATTTTACAGTGTACTTCACTGGATTTCTCATCTGTAGTCCAGTGCACACAGAGAGAACACACAGCAGTAACATTATTGATAACCACAGTTTCCATTTGGTAAATCAAGCAGAGCAACTGCTTTCCTATGCTAAAATAGAGCTGCAGGGTTCTGCTGGATGGATGTCATCTGTACTGGAAGAATAAATTTCAATAATTGCTTAAAGCTTCTTCCTATAATAAGGGCTAACAGGAAAAGTTATCTTCATCCCTCTTCACTACTTGAAAACGACGCTGAAAGCTGACTGATTTTGCTTGGAAAAGCTGGAGAGAGAGAAAAATAAGAAGTTATTTGCAACAGTGTTAGATGTATTAATAATACAGAGGGGAAAAAACCCATACTGGGCCAAATTCCTCCATTGTGGAGGTTCATTTAAGTTGACAATGTTTCAACAGGGATGAATTTGGTCCAAAGAACACATGTAATTAAAATACAGAGGCCCCAGGCTGTTGCTAGACTGATCAATGGCCTATTTGTTTGTCTTCAGCTGCCTAAATCACACCAAAATTGAGCCGTCGATAACGAGCTGGTGACCCACTTTTCTGCTGTAAAGTCCAAACCCAACACCACGCAGACCCAGATCCTGGCTTTCTCAGTACCACGTGAGCTCCGTTTCTGATCTGATTTATAAAGGAGGAGGAGGATAAACTTTGGGAGTCAGGCAAGATGCAGCAATACGCTCTAGGAGTGACGTCTTTCCACCTTACCACGGTTAGTTTGGATTTACAGTATGCCTTTATCAAGCTTGCTGACTTTAAGACAAAACTCTTCCTATTAGAGCTGTCTTTAAGCAAACTAAGCTTTTTAAACTCAGTGCCACTTCTTCCTTTGTATATTTTAAAAACCAAACAAAAAAAACCAAACCCTGCGGGACAGACACTTGGAGGACAGAAATCGCACCAGGTTTTCCTCCATCTGTTTTCCAGTGTTCAATTCCATAGTGTCTGGAGGAGAGGAAGAGGTGAGGAGATGGGATCCCTTGTTGCTCTGAAAGAGGGAGAGTGCAGTGCTCTTAACAGCAATTAAGAAGTAATTAAGAAATTACTTAGCCAGAGCTAAGAGGAGTGGAAGCAATTCTAAGCCTGGACTTGCATGCCAAGCCATCATATTTCTTCTTTCTGCTGAATATTTGGTGCTGAATTTGGGAGTTTGAAGACTCATTCCATTTGGTGGCACGGAGGAGTTTTGCCAACCTCCCATCCCCCTCCACCCCCAAACGATCCATTTTAATTTTTGCTATTCTCAGGGAAAAGGCAAGGAAGTTAGTATTTGCTTACTGTTAACTTAAGCCAAAAATGAAATGTTTGTGTCTTGGAGGGAAAAAAGACCTGCAGCGTGGAGCTCAATAAAGCTATCCGAAAATGTTTTTGTGCGTAGAATCAATATCTATTTGATAATGGAACCAGGAAAAAAAAAAAAAAAACAACAGATTTGAGACAGTATCTGAGGAAGGTCAATGGAGAGGGTAACATTAAAATATGCTCCATTTTTCTAATTAATGCATGAAATCAGGACCTTAAGGACAAAGAGACACACGTGCATACTTCTACCTTAACTGCTCACCAAACCCCTCTACCTGAACACAGCATAACACATGGCGGTTCTTAAGAAAAAGATATAAAACATTAAGAGAGGGGGGAAAGCCAGCGCTTTGTGCAGAGTTTCCAATGAACCTGTTTCACTTGCGTTCTTCTCTGTCCCTTTCTGTGATGAGGGTCGCAACCCTGCAACAAGCTCCATGCAGACGGATCAGTGCAGCCTCTCCACAAACTGGTTTTCATCCTGCAAAGCATCGAGCATCTCCTTAAAAGTTTCGTTTTCCTTCTCACTCTAATTACCGGCTCGCTGCACCTAGACCTGTGGAAGGATAACGAAAGGCTCTTCGCAAATATTTTAGACATCGTATTTCATTACGGTGAGAACCCTCAATTTGTTTTCAGGATTTTGAAACCCCTTATTTTTCTGTTTTGAATTGTTTTACCCTGAAGTTCGATATAAATAAGCTGGCTTCTTCCTTTAAATTCTTATATGTATCCCTGTTCTTTACATATTAGTTATGAATAAACCAAAAGCCAAAGACAAAATGTTTTTCCAAAGTTCTGTGATAACGGAGTATGCGTTGTTCCTCTTGTAATGGCTATTGATATTATTGAGCCACTTTTTAATGCGAGTACCATTTGATCATATGTTTATTGACATGCTTTCATTTTTTTTCTAATGTAATGCACTTTCCCACATTTTTTAGGCTTCCGGGCTAGACTCTGATCCCCATAATGGTATTGTCGGGTACCTTGCTGCTGCTGGAACGAAGAGGACGAGGAGAAGAACAGACTGTTGTGTGATACGCTGAGTGACCAGAATTCAGGTTCCTGCTATAAAAATGTTATGTTAATTAATTTAACTCCTTATACTCCTTAATCGATGGCAACAGATTATTTTTCTTTACTTACTTTGACAGCAAAAGGAAAGATGTGAAATCTTTTCTCTGACCTTCCTGACGTGTAATTACTTCAGGAATACCTTAACTCCTCTTTTTCGCTATGAATGCATGTATCATTTAATAAAAAAAAAAATAAATTCTAAATTAAATCCCAATTTCCATCACCTCCTGAAATTCATATATCAACCACTGAAATTTATGAAAGAAACTTTGAATAAACTCATGCCTTATATGAGGGGAAATAAAAACAATTTGCAGTGCACCTTTTAGCTACGGTACCGCAAAGACTTTCCGTATTATTAGGTCCTCACACCAGGACATCATTTAAGCATTTACTCAACTATAAGCCCTCAAAGTTTCATAGGTTACAGGTAATAACACATGAAAATCCTGTGTTGGATTGGAGCCTCCCAGAAATATCCAGCACAGAGAATCACAAAGTATAACCCTCGCAAAAAAACTTCCCAAGCTCAAAACTCATCGGACGTCTTCCTCTCGCTGCAGAGGGATTGCAGGACTTCCCACCATCGGGACCTCCGCTGATTTCCACTCTTCAGTGCAAGTCAGGTAATGGTAGCAGAATTATTTCTTCTTTCAAAGAAGAAAATACTACTTATTTCATAGAAGAAAATGCCAGATCTGCAGCACCCCAGGGCCAGCTGCTGCCAGCAGGGATGGGGCTACCTTTGCCCACAGCAGTTCTACCCACGGTTTCGTGATCTGTGGCAAGAATAAAGAGATTTCCAAATAAATATGGGGGGTGTTTACTGGCCTCAGAAAGGCTAAGACTTCTTTTTCTGTTTCTCTACTATAGAAGTTTAATATTTCCAGAAATTATTTAAACACAGGGACATCGCGTCCATTCAAGGTAACTTGATTTGGAAAAATAACCCACGCTTGTCAACTTCCAAACTTTGGACTCTCCGCACGACCTCCGTAGGCACTGCGATGCTCCTCAGCATTCCTCCTAGCTACCTGCCCATCACCCAAACACCAGGCAGCACCGCTCGCCCTGCGGCCACCGAGCCACGGCCACCGGCAGCGCAGCAGGGATGCTCTCCCCCACACCGGTCACCCTTCAAACCTAAACTGCCCTTCTGCGCCTTCTTTCCAAAAATTATTTTGGCTCTGACTGCATTACCACTTCTGGCAGACCTGGGATGAGTCTAGTTCTGTAAATTCCCCACTCTTCCAAAACCATGAGTAGATCTAATCCCTTACCTACCCTACGCCCATTTCCAAGACTTTTTGACTTTGATACTGTAGTTGTGACATAGCAATCAATTTTTCACCTCATATACTCAACAGATTTTGTTAAAAGCATCCTGCTCCACAAGCAAATAAACACCCAGGAGCCTCTCCAAAACCTCTAAACCAGGATAGCAGTTTGGTTCCCTCTCCACCCCTCGCACCAAGCAAAAATTCAGATACACATCTTCATTTGAGCTGGCTCTGCACAGTAACAGAGAGCTCTCCGACAAAAGCCGTGGGACACGCACAGAAAATCTCTTAAAAAGTTACCTGTACACTCCAGCTAATCAGCTCGTTGTGAAAAGACAAAATACAAGTGTTAACGATATCTACATTTGGTATGAAAATATGATTTTCCCCACTAACATCAGAACGGCCATTTGTTCACACGCACTGTCTAAAATTTGAAGGAGAAAGCCATTCTCAATTATGAATGTACAAAATCTCTTTTTTCCCCCCCTCGGAATAGAAACTGCTCCTATTTTCACATATAACCACCTTATTTTTCAGCTTCTCCTCCTCATTGTCTGCAATTTCCATTACATTTTAATAGGCACAGCAAAGGCTGTGCATAAAATACTGATCTTTCCGAAAAAGCTGGGACCGAGGAGTATGTGTTTCCATCCATATGCAAGCCTGCGAGCAAGCACAGAAAACACAACGCAGA